TACTCGAGGAGTTCATTAAAGGCATCTTTGGACAATTTCGCAAGGATCCAACTTCTTCCATCCTTGTCCCGTCCATCGTATTTTTTGGACGGCGGTGATGTCAGCTTACCTTCCTCAGAAGACGGCAACCAGCTGGGAGGCGAACTTTGCAGGTGCCCTCATATCCTGATCCTTATCAAAGAGGGGTATCTCACCCAAGACGTTGTACTGACTTTCATCGTAGTTGGTTTTTACGTGGCGAATCTCAAACCTAGCGCACAACCGTGCTGGGCGGGTAAGTTTACATTTATTACACATTTATACAGCGAACCGTTTGCTTTAAGACCTATGTCCGCTCGCAGCCGCACCTCTGGTGACAGACGCTCCACTTAGACTTCAGCGAACACTTAAACCTTAAGATCAGAGTGGCTCCACTGAAGCTTCCTCTCTTTTAACCGTGACTCAAGGTTCCACATGGGTTGTTTACCGCATGTTGCTGAAGCGATGCTCACGATTAAAGGGTGCTCGACGAGGACGCAAGAGTAGGAATTGAGTATAACCCCGCTACTAACTGCTTGACTACACCCCATTACACCCCAACTAAAAGCAGCCAAATATTCGACTTACCTCATCATCAGCTGGCCGAAGAAGTTCTTTACCGGACTCGATATGAAAGTCAATGGCGTGAAAATTCTGACAATTAACAACCTGAGACCTACATCCGATAGCCTACATTTCTTCATTTGGTATACGACAGGGACAGGGACAGAGAACCTCATGATGACGCCGAAGCGTCAGTTCACCAACGAAACATCTATGCATTGCGTTATGGAGCAGAATTAAATTAATATGGGAGTACTTGACCGCAAAGATTCCATTTCGCAGCGTATACAAAGGTGGCGACAGGCTTTAAGCGCCATTCACCGAGAATACGGCAACACCTTCTTGGACTCTCTTCCAATGAATGGTGTTATAGGAATCCAATCAAGATCTGACACCTGCTTATCCAGGTTTGATTCCGGCATATCCAGCATATGTCCTGTGTGCAATGCGACGCCTTATATGCCACTTAAAGCGGTGCTTATTCCAATGGTGAAGAAGAAGAGACTAAAATTACATTTTTCTACATCTCTAGCTAGCGGTTGCCGCTAATTTTTGATATTCTGCATTAGTGAACAACAAATTATAATTATTGCATCAAAATAGTTTCAATCGATTTTTGAATATGGTGTTGTTGTTGTTGTTGTAGCGGTTCGTTAACCCCGCTGAGGCACAAGTTTGTTCAGTCTAAGTCGCCGAGGTCATCTAGTGGTAGGTCCAGGAAACGAGTTGTTTCGACGGGGTTGGACCAAAGGGAGAGGGAGGTTAGATGAGAGGGTTTGAGGGGGCATGTGAAGAGGTGGTTAGTGTCGTGCGGGGACTCTCCACATGCAGGGCATACGTTAGGTATGCTGGGGTCTAGTCTGGATAGGTAGGAGTTTAACCTGCTACAATATCCAGACCTGAGTTGTGTCAGGGTCACGCGGGTCTCTCCAGGCAGCTCGAGCTCGTTGTCTGCTATGGGTGGTGGTATTTTTCCGAGTACGCCATTCACTGGAAGGGAGTCCTTGAAGGTGTTGACTGACTCCTGGTGAATGGCATTCAGTGCTTGTCGGTACGCCGTCCTGTCCAGCGGTTGATGTGTGTGTTGCTGGATTGTGTCCTTAAAATCTAGTGCTCCCTTTCTGATGTGCCTAGGTGGAGGTTCAGCCTCTATTAGGTGCCTACTGGGGTGCTCCCTGCGGTAGCATACCTCACTTCCCTGTGCAAGTGATGCTCCGGCGTGTCTTCATCTGCGTGTCGTTCGTTCCCGGCGTCCGGATCGGTGCAGCATAGTTTACGACCGGCCGGCCAATTGCTTTGTAAGTAGCCAGCAAAGTTTCTTTGTCTTTACCCCAGGTGCTGCCGGCTAACGCTTTGAGTATTTTGTTGCGGCTCTGGATTTTTTCTGTTTTGGGAAATTAATTTGAGAAATTATGGTTTTTCAGTTTATTTGTATATTTTTGATATTCGAATCACAAATCCAATCTATGAAGTTTGCTTGAACCAATAAAATCGGATTTTTAATAAAAAAAAAAGCATGGAATAATAATTGTACTTTTCAAGCTGAAGCGATGAAAAAGAGAAGAAAAGTTTAAATGCTCACCGTAGGCTGTGGCGATCGTTGTCGAATTTATGCTACGCGAAGTGGCGGCAAAGGGCCCATCATCTGCGTATGGAACAAATACTCGAAAAGACTCCTCGTTTCAGGAGCTCTCTCAAAATATGTTGGCGTATTTTTGCCGCTTAAGATTAGCTGCGGTTCGTTGTTATAATCATTAACACCAAATATAACACCATCTGCATTTAATAGCTCTTCGAATCCCATCAAATTTGCAACATATTCTTCAAGACTAGTCAATATGCTTGTAACAACTCTTCCGGATGCTTTTGACTCTTTCTTGTGGTTCATAATTTTTTTTTTTTTCATTTTAAGTCTGAAAATAAAATATGTAGCTAAAATGATGAATCAAGAAGCATTTGCATTTTTTCATGTTTTAATATGCCTTGTATCATCCATCATTATCCCGCACAGGTAGTCTCACCGCATTGAACTCCTCTTTAAAATTGTGTTGGATATGCTTTTTTGGAAAATAAGAGCTGAATGTGGCTTACTTTTCAATGCTATCATCGTCATCTGCCGATACTGTTGACGATGGCATACCATTTGTCACTGACGACGACGATATTCAGCATAAGGCCGAATGTGTCGCGACGTAAATTTTTGTTGTTTATTTTCCAAATCTATAACTTTGCCGCAAAAACTTAATCGTCGTTAATGTGATAATATTTTTTCAACAAACGCCAAAGCAAAGATAGCAACAAGTCGAGCTGGAGGCAGACTCTCGAAATCACGTTTCACTTACTTTACTGGCGTAGACACGGTTTAAGCTATTGTACCCGAGTTAACAACATTGCGCCATATATTCCTTTTTGCTGTTTGGCGTCAATTGGAAATGCCAAGTTTAGCCAAGTCCTTCTCTACATGATCTTTCCAACGGAAAGGAGGTCTTCCTCTTACTCTGCTTCCACAGGCTGGTACTTCATCGAAAACTCCCAAGGCTGGAGTATTCGTATCCATCCGGACCACATGACCTAGCCAGCATAGCCTCTGCTTCTTGATTCACTGAACTTAATCCATGTCGCCGTATAACGCGTACAGCTCATCCTTCCGACAACCGGCATTGCCAACGCGCAAAGGACCATAAATCTTACGCAGAACTCCTAAAGCAAACTCATCAGATATTGTCATCGTCCATGCTTCCGCACCACTTGTATACTTTGATTGTCGTTCGCCAAAAGAGGACTTTACTTTTCAATTGCCTGGCACCTCAGTTCAAAGTAGCACCTGTTGGCAAGGCTGACATTGTTGTTGGTGTTAATACTGGTTGTTAAATAGACAAAGTTACCTACGAAGTGACGTGTTTATTTGATGACAGGAGATATTTCAGCCTCATTCACTACCAGATCCATTTGCTTCGCTTCTTTATCGAGCCTGAAGAAAGTAGAACTTTCACGGATCTCTTCCAAGATTTGGCTCATGGTGAATATCTGGTCAATTGTTGACTTACCAGGTTTAAAGACACACTGAAAAGGTCCAATCAATTTGTTGACGGTTGGCTTTAGTTTCTAACTTAAATTCCTATCGTCGGTCATGCTTTCGTCCAACTACATTCTGAAAAGTAAATATCTGATGCATGCACCTTGTCAGCTCTTCATCGTCATGTTTGAATGGTTCTGCTTTGTTTTTTTTTAAGCGAGCGATATCTATTCGAACATGTGCATGGTCAGGTGATGGAACGTCTTTTCCATCGTCATCGAATCCCCAGGCTCGACATCTCCGAATAATCTATTTTCGCTGTTATTCAGCAGGCTGGAGAAGTTTTTCCTCCATAAAATCAACATACTCTGGGCATCGTTGGCTAGATCACCTCTTTGTATCTTACTAAACTAATTAAAACACCTCCAATTAATCTAATTCTCACTCAAATATAATTATATTTTAATCCAATCAACTGCAAAAATCTAAAAACTCGTATCCACCTAATTTCAATATAATTCCGGCTAAAATTATTGATCCAGATACAGGAGCTTCTACATGAGCTTTTGGTAATCACAAATGAACTAAAAATATAGGTATTTTAGCCTGCTCCGGTCTTCAAACCTTCCGTAAGTCGTCGTATCTTCTCAAAAAAAAATTTCGAGCATTACCCTTGTCGGCCGCTTCTGAAGCTCTTCATACTCACGCATCTCGACCTCCTTCTTTTTTTCTGCAGGTGCGTTTTGCTTTCCTCTTCGTCTCTCGGAATCTATCCTATCCCGCACCTGTTGTTGTCGATCGCAACGTTGCGGTGTAGGCAGTCTGTTTTCTCTCCACTGCGACACGGCACGAAATCACGTTTCACCGGACATAATTCATCTTAATTCAAATACAATAGCATTGCTTAAGATTTTCTGCAGAACATTGCCTTAAAGTCGATTACTCATATGCTTTATACGGCTAGAACACTAATGGAGTTGAGCATATATTTTTCAGCAGCAGCATAAATTTTTAAATATAATTATTAAATGTTTTTATTTTTATTGAACAAAAATTTTTGAATATGTAATACAAAATAACCATTGACTGTATATATTTAAGCAATGAATTAAATTAAAGATATAGGACTACTGAACCGAAAGTACATTTCATAAAAAGTTTTAACGCATATAACATAACAGCAGCAATGACCCTTCCCAATTATGTATTAGTAAACAACGAATGATATATGTCTTCCTGATAAAGAAATACATATGAATTTTTAGTTTCTGATAAAATATGAAGAAATATTTATTCCAATTAAAATTTAGTTTAATATATATATATATAAATATGTACAGACATAGGTATAAATACATAAATATATATATATATATATATATATATACAAATGCACACACACTGTATACAATTATATTATCGATTCCAAAATTAAAATACACAGTTTTGTCAATTTTTTTTACAAAATATATAAATTCAAAATACAATCTAAAACGTCTTTTGCCGAGTTGATGTTTTGAAAAAATGCTTTGTTTTTGAAAACGTATTGCAATTGCTAGAAAACGTCTTTTTTCGTTTTGAATTTATCTTGATTTATTTTCACGCCGGTCGTACTTGAACCAGAGCTGAGAGTAACATCACAGTTTTGTCTCTTATTTAAGAATAGTATGTCTGTTGAATGCCAAATTCATATATAAGTTAAGGTATAATGCAGTAAAATTATTGAATATGCATAATTCTAACAATAATTTCAAATTAATTTATTTTTAATACTTTAACTAAAATTATTGGTTGAAAACATTATTCATATTAAATGTCTTCTTATTGTTCCGTAAGAACAAAACATACTTAAATAAAAAATATATAAAGGTTGCATCATCACTTTACATTCACTACAAATACTGAAAAAAAGTGGTACTCATAAATTTCGTTTGAGTAGTCTTCACTGACTTATCTGTCATAAATAATTTACATTGCAGTGATACGACAAACATGTAAAACCTAACATTTTCAAACTTGGCTACATACATAAATTGTGATATATTGTATAAACTAAAATAAATTATATAAAAAAGTTATCTAGCCTAGACATTCGCCAATGTGGTGAGTGTTTTTATGTATAAGCTTTGAACATAAATTGAAATTTAAATTATGATGGTGATTGATGTTACCGTAACTAAAATATTGATAGTGATTGTGTCTATTTAAATTATTTTTTCTGTTGGATATTATAAAATTTAGAGCAGTATAAAAAAGATATCGCATTTGAGTTATTCTGGCACACACACGTATTATCTTCTCTAGGTATACTTTGCGATTTTGGCAACTGTGACAACGCGGTTGAGAAAATTCCGATATAGCCTTCAGTGATGATGACGATATAGATGAAGCTTGAACTGTTTGACCGTATTTAAAAACTATAACTTGATTATGGCAAAGGTTTATTTGTGCAATGCAAATGCGTGAATATTATAGAAATTAAATGAAAACAAAGAAACGGGCTGCAAATATGTTTTTTTTTCTTGATTCGTAGATTTACTTTTTATGGATGGAATATAGAGTAAGGCCTTCTCTCTCTGGACTATCAAAGTCGAAAGTCTAGTAATCTTTATCGTTTAAAGTGGAGATTCGGGGTTTCTTTCTAAGCCTATGATCAGGTCGAATTACCTAAATATTTTTAAAGCACCTGAAACCACTAAACAAATTAGTAACAATGAGTGAAACAAGCGTATCTCAGCGTAAAATAAATTTATAATTGCATAAACAGGGCAAATTATATGCAGAAATGGGTGAAATTATGTTCCGAAGCCGCTACTCCATAAGGAGAATTGTGAAACGACTTAAGGGGGTTAAACATTTACAAAAGCGCAACGCTTTGAATGGCTGCGAACAGTACAATATAGTGAAAAAGGTAAAAGGAAACCGCAGATTATCTTCCACAGAAATCACAGCGAAAATCAACGAAAAGGAACGTTTGGAAAGATATTCATCCAATAACGGTCCGGAAAGTATGTCATGAAACTAACCTCCACTCTCGTGTAGCTAGACGTAAGGTCCTCGTTTCAAAAGTAAAACGAAGGAAACGTTTAGACTAAGCTAAGGAGTGCTTTAGCCAACCAATTGACTTTTAGGACAATGTACTCTTCTGGGATGGGCTGCTTATACTTTATATTTATATGCTTATAGACAACATGGAAAAATTTTTTCAGGTGTTTATTCATTTAGTGGGGGAAATATTCGTGAATATTTTTTATTATTTCTTCATTGATACCCCTTAAATTTTTTAATTTTGAAAAGAAAAATATGTTTATTTTGAGTTTAAAGTTAAATTTAAGTAGTTTATTAAAAATATTGATTTGTGGTGTCAATGATATGAATTATATTCATCTTAGATCGTGAAAAATTATTTATCTATTTGTAGAATTAGATTTTTAGTTCTTATTAGAATTAGACTTTCTATATTTTTATTAAGTTTAAATTTTATATTAAATGAATATTGTGTATTTTTAGAATGAGAAGTAGTTAGATTAAATTCTTCGAGAATTGTTATAACATTTTTATTTGATTGAATAAGTTTATTATTTATGTCTTTCAATATCATTCCGCTGCAGGAAACACATCAGAAAAGAAAATCATAAAAGTCATTTACATTTCAACACGACAATGATCCGAAGAATACCGCTCATTATCACACTGCCACATCCATCCCAATCGCCATCTAAGCCCAATCGAGCATTTGTGTAAGGAGCTAGAAAGGCGCGTAAAGTGCCGCGCTATATCAACAAAAGAATAATTGAAGGCAGCACAGATAGAGGCACGACAGAATATTGTGGTAGAAGCCACACAAAATATGCGCCTTATAACCCCTGAAGCGAATTTTGACCAAGCTCTGCTTCCAATTTGTGGTGCGTGCCTTGACGTTTTCCAATAAATGGACTACAATTTATACTAAACAGCCGAAGAATAGCTGAGAAGCTTTGATGACACCCACAACCTTTTTTTTTGTCAAAACTCACTGTAAGGGCTTGACATTCATTTACAAAAATTATTTTGATTACAACACCTAATTGGAAATTTCAAGAAAATAATAATTAGGAATAAAAGAGAAAAACAGATAAGGAGCTAAGGCCTAAGACCTTTACGTTATTTCGAAATAATAATGTCATGGAACAATTATTTTTTCTTTGGGCTTCCACATAACAATATCCGTTTTATTGTAGCGAAAAAAAACATATATCGAAATAAATTATTCGCAATATATTCGTTTGAAATGTTGTTTGGGAAATTTAGAGTATACAAAGCAGTCATTCGAAATTCAAAAATACATCGTATTTCGGAAGACAAGTTTTGCACAGGAAAATGGCTAATTATATATTAAAATTGTTTATAAATGGTATAAAATTTTACTAGGCATCGTTCAAATATTTTCAGAATTAAGACATACAAGGTGCGATCACAAAATATCCGTTATTTTCAAATTTTGTGAGTTACGTATGTTCGATTTTCGGCTTTTTTCTGTTTATTTGTACACATTTCCGTTATATATATTGGCAATACCAGCCATTTTGGATTGCCCGTTTGTTTTGACATATAAATGTTTTAGTCATGTTCTGGTATGCTCTTGATTTTTTAATATTCGAAAAAATGGATCAAAGCAACTGTAATAAGTTTTGTGTAAAAAATTAAATTAAACGCGCATTTGGAGCGTTGACTGTGCCGTTTGGCGAGTCTACTATGAACAGAACAAAAGTTAACTTGTGGTATAACCAGGTTAAGGAAGGCCGAGAAGATGTTAATGAAAATGCTCGTCCTGGTCTCCCGAGCACGTCAGCAACCGATGAAAACATTGACGCAGTGAGGCAAATGATTTTGGATAATCGTCGAATAACTATCAAAGAGGTCATACAGTCAATAAGGAATACTGCCTAGAGGTAATGCACCGTTTGCGCTAAGCAATTCGTCAGAAACGCACAGAATTGAAGAAAAAACAATCATGGATTTTGCACCATGATAACGCACCATTTCACACATCGGTGCTTGTGCGTGAGTTTTTGGTCAAAACGAAAACCGTTATCATGCCTCAATCACCGGGTTCACCGAACTTGACCCCCTTTGACTTTTTCCTCTTCCTAAAACAAATGCCCCCGATTGAGGAGATACAAGAAGAACCGAAACAGGAGCTATTGGCGATACCAAAAAAAGTGTTTCAGAAGTTTTTCGAGGACTGGAAAAAACGCTGGCATAAGTGTTTTATCACTAAATAAAGAAATACTTTTTGAAACAATTTAAAATGACGGTTATTTTCTGATCACACATCGTATAAGGTATTTAACCATTAACTTGTTATATAACAGCAGAAATTTGAAATAAAAAACGTGTTTTTCAATATTTTTTGTTTTACGGATTGAAAATACATACTCCGACAATACGCAATATGATATCGACACATATTAAGCTAGCTACTAAGAGAGATAATGTTTTTTCTTATGTTTTAAAGTTGAAAATAATAATTAGGAGTAAAAAAGATAAGAAGCTAAAAACTAAGACCTTTATTGTACGTTATCTCAAAATTATTTAAATGGTACATAATACTTAATACATAACAAAGTTATGAAAAAAATATCTTTTCATATGGAAGGACAATATCCGATTTAATTCGAATTATAACTTTCGCAGCATATTCGTTTGAAATGTTGCTTGGAAAATTTAAAGTTTACATAGCAGAAATTCAAAAATACATGGCATTTCGGAAGACAAGTTTTGCACAGGACAATGGCAAAATATGTAATACAATTGTTTAAAAACGGTGTGTAATTATATCAGACATTGTTTTAATATTTGTATTATTAAGACATATAAGGTATTTAACCATTAACTTATTTTATAACAGCAGAAATTAGAAATAAAAAAAAACCCATTTTTTAATATTTTTGTCTTACAGCTTAAAAATACAGGCTCCACAATATGGTATCGACACATATTAAGCTAACTACTAAGAGCGAATAATATATTTTTTGCGTTTTAAAGTTTTTCGTTTGTACATATTTTACAATAATGAATGCATATTCTTATAATATTACCGTTGACGATATTACTCACTTTGCACCGAAGGTAATTTTTCTTCCCCTGGATTAATATTTATTACCATTTCCGGAGGTTTTTCCTGAAGTGTGTTTAATTGAGAGAAAACATGTACCAGTGACGCCAAAGAACTATCCGGAATGTTTGATACATCTAAAAGATAATTACAAAATCAGATATTAAAATTTGGCAACGAAAAACTTGAAGAGTGTTTTGCATACGCCACGCACAACAATTTTTTTTAAGGATTCGTACAATATGCCAGACAGACAAAATTAATTTTGTCTTTTATCTCTTTTTATTTGATCCATTTTTATGCTGTAAAAAAATTTCTACGCTCTGCTTTACGTTCCATTTCGATCAATCTTAGGAACTTTCGATCCTATCTAATTTTATATCTTCTGCATTTTGATAGCAGTCACAATTTTCTAAGTTGCAATCAAGTTGACAGAGAACGAGTAGATCTTATATTTCCATGTACTTCAAAGGATATTAAATACGCTGCATACTATACCATATCAACACACTCTATGACTTCAAGAAAATTATACAGTAAAGTTTACATTTTGGTTTGAGGTCTTCCTTTTCCTCTGCTTCAAAAAGCGGGTACTGCATTGGATACTTTCAAATCTGGAGTGCTTTTATCCATTTGGGCGACAAGACCTAGCGAGCTCAGTCGTTGCCTCTTTATTTGCTGAACTATTTCAATATTATCGTATAGCTTGTACAGCTCGTTGTTCCATCGTCTGCGTTACTCTCCGTATCCAATGCGCAAAGAGCCACAAATCGTTCGCAAAACTTTTCACCGAGAGAGAACTTTACTTTTCAATTGCCGACTCAGTCCAAAGTGGCATATGTTGGCAAGAGTGGTTCTGCGTTGGATTTCTACGACCTCTTTGTTATGACCGTCAACAGTGACGTGGGAGCCGAGTCGCAAATTCGATGACTATTTGTTTGATGCCAGCACGCCACCAGCTGTACACTCTAACAGAAGACTGTGCCTTCTGTATTCAGCTCCGCAGCTCGTATTGTTTTCTTCAGCATAAAATCAAAAAGACACACGATAAGGAAACACCTTGTCCGAGACCTCCTTTGGTATTGGGCGGCACGGAGCGGAACTTACCAATCCTGTCGGAGCTTTTAGTGCTGCTTACGGTCAATTTACGTAGCTGTATAAGCTTTGAGGGGATACCAAATGCAGATATAACGGCGTAGAGGCAGCTCCCGTTCGTGATGTCGAAAGCTGCTTCAAAATCGACGAAAGGTGTGAGTGTCCATCCTCTTTTCACGGGTCTTTTCCAAGATTTGGCGAATGGTGTATATTTAGTTGATGGTAGACTTACGAGGTCTAAAGCCACACTGATAAGGTCGAATCGGGTTGTTGACGGTGAGGTCCCAATCGTCGGGCATCCTTTAATGCGACCAAATCCGTCCGTCTGAATAAGAATATTCCAGCTAAGAAAGTTTTCAATGCAGTACCCGCCGAAAGCAGGGGAAGGGGAAGCTCTTCACTCCGTTATAAGGACCAGGTTGAGGAGGACCTGGCTGCATTTACAAGCTCCAATTGACGCAAAACAGCGATACACACATGGTGATAAAGTTCCTGCTTAAAATAACTACTTTCTGCGCAAAGTGAAATATAATCAGCCCTATTCTAAATGACAATTCCCCGGGAGATTTCACTGTTTTCCCTCTTCTCCTATCATAAGTTAAACAAAAGGCTTGCGGCTTTTTTCTCTTTTCCCTTTCCTCGTATTTTAAACAAACTTCGAAAATGGGGGAAAATTCCTAGTGGCATCACCAATGCAAAGAAATTCGGATTATTTCAATATTCCGAAAGATATTTTTTAAATAGAAATTGTATCTCCCATATTTGTAAAAAATGTAAGTATTTATTAAATATAACACAAATCATCGTATTAATAGTTTCTTTAAGGAAAAACAGCGAGCTGGTGGAAATTCAATAGGCTATAGCCCGATGATTTTTTAAGAGTAATAAGAAGCAGTCAACCAATTTCGGGAGAAGGTGCATAACAAAGCATATACCGCGGGACCGCTTGTAAAAAATATTGTTTAATGAGAGATGGTAAAATTTATTTTCCAGTGGAAGGCGATTTTTTAAGTACACAATTTACTTTTAGGTGTAGTAGTGTAGATTGCCCCTAGCGAAAAGATGAAAAAATCGGTTTAATGGTAGCCAGCGAGGAAGTTTGGATTGCATGGGCTAGAGAGCTTGCCAAACGTCGTAGATATTTGTTCTGGTTTATTTGCGCCAGAATGTTTATAAATGGGTTGAATATCTTTAAGATAAAAGATCGGAAATTTATAACAAATGTTTAGAAATATGTTCATGTAAATTGAACCACGCGCGCCTTGACGCTAGTACCGCCACTTTCGTTGGGAAACTTGGACGGACTTCCGCAATTCGGCCGGCCGGTATGAATACAATTTTCCGATTAGGTCGGTTCCTGGTCCACTTCAAATAGGTCAGTTCATCGTCCACTTACCGGGGAGAAAAGCAGTATTCCTGTCAGACTAGGCAAACACCTAAACCTATCAACCGAACTTCAAATAAATCGAACCATAAATCAGCCTTTTTCGAAGATTTCGGACACTGGTCCACTTTTATGTATAAGCCTTTGCAGGAATCATAGAAACAATCTCAAAAAATCGGAGGCTTGCAGATCTTTTCAAATGAACGTAATATTTTTATATTATAAAGATACTAGCAGACCCAGCGAACTTCGTCTGGCCTTAATAACATGCATTTTTGTTACATTGAGAGTGATATTAAAATATATGCCGATAGTTCAAATCAATATTTGAATTATTTAAATGAACTCGATCAGCAGAAGGCAATATGGTAATAGGCAAGCAAGAACAAACAACAAAGACGGTTTGTCGACAAGCGAACATGAGTAGTTCTCATAAAATTACCTAAATAAATTAAGCGATTTAAGATAAGAAAAATTCAAGCAGCCCATACGAACGGAAATGAATAAAGCAAGCAAATTGAACCATAAATAAGATTATTAGGAGCCAGTTTAAGTATTTTAATCTAAACGACAAGCATTTAATAAATTATATTTCAAGTAAATTTAATCGTAACTAAGACTGTCTCGCATGAATCGGTCTCCGAGAATCTCTTAATAAAGTTGAATTTCGGTTTAGCCGTTAACAACTCAGGAAAAACTATAAATTGTTTTCAACATTACGGCTTCCCATTGGGGGAGACCGCATTCTTATTAAAAATTAACCACATGTCTCGTTTAATTCTTATGTACAAGACAAATACAGCGTTTTAATACAATGTACTTATCTCGCATACATTGAATGGCATTTGATATTAATTAATAATAGTTTTGCAATTTCAATTTAGTATCATGGCAACGGTTTAGTGTGGTTTGTGGATCGGTGGAATCGTCGATTCATATTTCTTCAAAAATGATGCAGGTGAGAACGTAACCGTCAATGGCGACCGTTATCGCACTCCCCCAGCGGGTTAGGGGCTCGAGAATATACCCGCGGTAAGGCATGCCTGTCGTAAGGGGCGACTAAAATCTTATAGTTCCCGTGACAGTCGGGTCTTTATACCGGAACGACCCGGAGTTTTATCCGGTCAAGGTCAGTCACTCCCGCAACATTCGATTCTGGTCTTGGCGTGTCCATTCGCAGATTACCAGTCGAAATGCTCAACGGATGAACCATCTGAGACGAAGTCGGAGTCAACATTTGAAAAAGATAATCTTCAAAAAAGTAGGGACCTTCCAAATAGACCTATTTATTAAACTATATTAATGTACACCCTATAACTCATTTACCGAACGTCCCTCATGTCAGCCGCTTGCGTCCGACCAAAGACAATCTTAAATTATTAGGCAAACAGGTAAGTTTAGTTTCTGTATTTCAAACGAGCATCACCTAGCAGCAAGGTTGCTACTAATCATACATGAGTCATCTTAGGAACTGCTCAGACCTAAAACCCATAGGTTGTGGCCACAAGCGCTAAATAAATATACATGCTTGCATCAATCCACATGTACATAAAATTGTTTTTTTAACACATTGCTCATACTGTTCTCAATTTCAAACGCAACTTACATCCAAAGCTTATCAAAATATATTTACATAAAAATATTTAAAAGATAGTATACCCAATAAAAAGTGCTATTGCACTGTTATTTCATTCATTCCTATTGAATTTAAAGAACAGAAAAAATTTTCACACTCACTGCAGTAAGCTGTTTTTCAACCTTCATTTTTTGTGTTTTATTATTCTATCTCCTTGTTTAGTTTTTTCCAGTACAATTTTCTCGTACTAAGCACGAATCCGGGTTCAAAAAAAAATTCCCATTCCGTCACACTTTCGAAATAAACAGTCGTTGCACAGATAACCAATGACGTGCTTTAAACTTTGCTGATATTAGAAATTAAAGCCTGAATTATATATTTTGCTTGCATCCCTAGATAAAGGTATAAACCATGTTTTAGGGATTTTTAGGATTTGGGTTTTAGTGAGCAATACTTGCTTCGCTCCTGTAGGACACAGAGAGGGGACGTGCCACTGATACGAAGCGCACACTGAATGTACGAGGTTCCAGCCGTCGTAGCTATGTAAGAAAAAGTATAATAAGTTTTATTTAAATATTAAATAAACTTTCTAAGAAACATGAATGCCAGTTAACAGTGGCAAATACGAGGTGTGAAATTGATTCCATAAAAACCATATACAGTGGCTTAAAAATAGAAAAAAAATTTATTATGAAATGCAAACCGAGGGCTTTCTGTTCAACATATATTTCTATTCTTCAAGTATATTTTTCAAAACAACCAAAACCACAAACTAAATTCAACTCGGTCGTATAAAAATTTTTTGAACATAACAACTTAACAAAACTGATGACAATAAATAAATCGGACATATACATAACATAGAATTTAAAAATATTATTTAAAGAGAAACATAATATTCTTCTTCATCATATATTCGGGAGATTGAGGAGGTGTTTCAAGCACTTTAGGACAGTTATACATCAACCATAGACGGACATTAAGTGCTTTATGCTTGGGATCGTTGTCTTGGTAGTACTGGAAATTGTCTTTAATTTCCAACTCTTCCACACTTTGCACTAAATATTCTTTTAAAATGGCTA